GGGGGGGCCTTATCTTAGATTCACATAAAAAATGGAGGGTTTGCAGGATCGGGGGCAGGAGGCTGCTGTGGCTCTGACTCTGGCCCTGAGCTTGGGTTGGGGCCAGAGGCAGAGCCATAGCAGCCTCCTGCCCCCACCTCCATTTGCCCTCTTCCCCTTTCCCCTCCTTACTGTCAGGCAACAGCTTAGCTCCAGCTTGGGCTGGATTCCCTCCTGGGCACAGGGAAACTCCGTCTCCTGCCTGGCCAGTCAGCAGTACCACTGCTGCTGCATGGCCTAGCAAGGGCTGTGTTTCCTCATGCTGTGCTATTTGGGTTGGAGGGGAAGGGGCAGAGATTGTGGGGAGTGGGTGGAACGGGAAAGGGTAGAGACTGGGGGTCTGGAGGGGTGCAGGTGTCAGGGGATCAGGTAGTCTGCAGGGGGGAAGGAGGGAGCAGAGAGCAAGGGGGGTGCTGCCTGACCTCTCCCAGCTACCTGACCCCCTAGTCAGTGCTTTCCCTGCTGCAGCTGTTAGATGACACAAATTTAAAACAACCCTCCAATAATTAGATGCTATATCTGGAAAACTAACACACTTATAAATTTTCCAGATATAGAATCTAATTATTAGGGAGTTGCTTTAAATTCAGTATCATCTTATATTTGAGTAAATATGGTAATTGCCTCATTTTCTTTCTAAAATAAGAAAGAACTTCAATTAAGTGAACAAGTGATGTTTTTGTTTTATGTCTTATTTTGGATTATGGGAAAAAAAGGCCAATAGGAAGGAAGATCCTGTGTGGGATTGGACCATGCAAGCCCCTTCCTTGTACAGCTGGAGAATACTGGCAGCTCCAAGCTGCCCATGCTCTCCCACCATATGGCAAATAGACAGTTGCTGTAATAAAATGGCACATACTATTGTTACCTTGTTACAGCCACAAATTGAGCATTTGTGGTGCAACATAACGTATGGACATCTGTTTGCTGTCATTTTGTGCTGCCATATACATTTTTATGGTAGCCCAAAGGTGAGGAAAAGCAATATCTGTTTCTACCCACAGTTCCTTGCCTTGCACCTGAGATTGGTGGGGGTCTCTTTTCATAATTTTTTCAATCCCAGCATTGTACCATTTTTAATTTTGAACATTATTGCACTAGACCAGGGGTGCTCAAAATATGGCCCACGGGCTGGATCCGACCTACCAGGCCATTCTATATGGCCCACGGGGCCCCTAAAAAATTTAGAAAATTCATTCAAAGATGACAGGAGCCAGGGGCAGTAGGACCCAGGGGAAGCCATGGTGGACTCCTGCAACAGCAGGGCCTGCCTGGCCCTGCCCACCCCTCCCCAGCCAGAACCCCCGGCCTAGCAGCGCCTTCTGGCTTGGGACTGCAGGGCTATTTGTGCCTCCCTGTGCTGGAGCAGGAAATTCAGTGGGGTGGGGGGGAGAGGCAGGGGAGGACCATGGGGATCACCCCAGTCCTTGGGGCCTGGCAGAGTCCTGCTGAGTCTCATGGTCTGGCCATGCAGCCGGGAACCATGTAGTTCAGAGTGGCTGGCCTGTGGGTGGGCAGGAAAGTGGGGAAACTGGCAGTGGAGGGCTGGGGGGAGTGGAAGTGAGTGGGCATGCAGGAGCCTGGGGCCTGCGTCAGTGTCCCGGAGCCAGCGCTGGTGGGGCCCAGAGTGGGGCGGCAGGAGCATGGGATGTGGGCTGGCAGGGGTCTATGGAGCTAGACTGGGTTGTCCCAGCAGGGGCAGGGGGGAGGTGGCCTGGCTCCATAGAGCCTCAGCTGGCTGGGACCCTGTGCTCCTGCTGCCCTGCTCTGGGCCCCGCCAGCACTGGCCCCGGGACACTGACATGGTACAGGTGGGGACGAGTGCGCAGGCCTGACCCCATGTGCCTCATGCTTGTTTGTTTGGGCTGAGCAGCGGTAGCAGGGAACAAACTCCTGCTCAGTGCAGGAGAAAAGCACGCCTCGCCTTCCTCCCCGTCGCCAGTGCTTCCTGCTGCAGCCCCTTGCAGTCCATGCGGGACTGCCTTGCCTCTGTTGCATCACTGTTGCCCTGTGGGGCAGCAGTGGCTATGGAGAACAGGCACAGGCAGCCCTGCGCAGGCTCTGAGCGGCTGTAGCAGGGAACTGCTGACAGCAGGACAGGCTGGTTTTCGCCTGTGCTGAGCAGCAGTTTGTTCCTGCCACTGTTGCTCAGCTTGGGCCCCACTTGGGCTCCAGGCTTGCCTGTCGGGGCTGAGCAGCAGCAGCAGCAGCTGGGCAGAAACTGCTGCTTGGCACAGAGGAAAGTGCATCCCCCCCTCGTTGCTGCCAGCAGTGTTTGCTGTGGCTGCCTTAAAAATTAAAACATATTATTATGGGCGTTTGATTTTTAGTGTATAATTTTGTATTTTTTCCCCCTAAGATGGCAAACTCTCTTCCCC